TGGAATATTATGCACAAAGCAAATGAAGGAGAGCTCGTATAATAAGTCAGAGAATTGCCAATTTGTATTTGACTGATCACAACTTCAATAATTCATAACTTTCTTATTTTCATTCAGAATTTGCTCAAACTTTCACTCACCTGATTTTCTTATTATTCTGCCTCTATCGAAACAAACTTATTTTGGGGGTGGACTTTCCCTTTAAACATAAAAACAAAAACTAATAAGACCACATGTGAAGTAATACGTTTGATTGTTAAGTGGTTAATGTCTACAGGAATGGACGGCGGCTTCCTTGGAAAAAGAAACAATTAGTCGAAGTTAAATGTAATCATTTCGATTGCATGAGATATGTCAAAAGAATATCCATTCAATTTTATGGTATTTACATATTTGTCATTCATTTAGAGGCACGTTTGAAGTACTGAGCAATGATCACATTTCTCTTTAACAATAATCCATTAGTGCACTACAGTCTAAGATTTAGCAACATTGTTTTTAAATCAACTGTCTTTGTGTTATTTTCATCTTCCCCCTCTCTCACTCTTTCTCCCTCTCTCTTGCTCTTTCTTCATCTTAATACATATCAAACATCTCAACATTTTAAACGATCTCACCGCTAATGGAAAACAATACTAATCCAAAAATGTAATATAATTATATCTATGATACTTTTGCAATTGAAACCGCTTCTGGCTTTGAAAAGCCTACTTGAGACTGCGGTTCTTCGCTTAGAGGAAACCTCAAAGAACCACATTGGCGGCTTCATTTAATTACTTCTTATCATGTTACCGATTTATCGACGCTTACATGAGTTCATGGTGTCAGTCTACTATCAGATAATCAGATCCCTTATTGCGGGGACGTTGATAGGAGGATGGGAAGAGGTGAGGGAGGGGTTACTTCGACCCGCGCTCAAGCGACAATGCTATGCGGTCTGAATCCTAATGATTTGACAGTAGAAATACAAACAGAAACTACAAAATCTGGGTGATTTGTCTTTTAGCCAACCATATTCTATCGCATGATGGGAAAAGGGTCGATATCTTAACAGCTACAGTACGTAGTACAAGTACATCAGAGTATAATATCTAAGCTGGGTGTTGGAATGAAAGGCTGACAAAAAGTAGGTATGTATGCGAGGGAAGAAGGATACCAAGCGAGGAGAAAGATGGAGAGAGAGATACAAGGAGTAGATGCAGAGAGACCGAAATGAGAATATATAGAGGGGTGAAAGGGACACAGAGAGAGAGAGAGAGAGAGAGAGAGAGTGTGTGTGTGTGTGTGTGTGCGTGTGTGTGTATGTGTATGTGTGTGTGATTGAGAGAGAGAGAGATATAGAAAGAAATGGATAGGGAGAGAGGGGTCATATTATTAAAGAAATGTATCAATATGCGAGTGATGCAGCATGGGTTCTGCTACTATGGGGGCATTGGTTTGGGGCGGAGTACCGGTAGGGGTCTAGAGGGGTTCTGAATGACCCCCAGAGGAAGGCGTGTCTCTAATTAGGCCGTGTGCTCCCACCATCGATCTAATGTAGCTATTCAAAGAGAGAGAGAGAGAGAGAGAGAGAACCAAAAAGAGAGAGAGAGAGAGAGAGAGAGAGAACCAAAGAGAGAGAGAGAGAGAGAGAGAGAGAACCAAAGAGAGAGAGAGAGAGAGAGAGAACCAAAAAGAGAGAGAGAGGAATGGAGAATTGGAGGGAGGGAGTGAGGGAAGGAGAGGGAGAAGGAGAACAACGGAGGGAAGGAGGGGGAGGGAGAGAAAGAGAGATATATATATATATATATATAGAGAGAGAGAGAGAGAGAGAGAGAGAGAGAGAGAGAGAGAGAGAGAGAGAGAGAAATGAATCGAGATAGAAAAAGAGAGAGATAGAAAGAGAAAATTTAATATCCTTCCCGCAATATGAAGTTTCTGGGAAACATTTTCCGGTGTGATATTTCCGCCTGTGGGACGGTAACCATTAATCAAAAACCGTTACTCCTTTTGTCCCATTTTACCAAGAGTGCATGGAATGAGGTGAAGAGCTTTTCCGTTTTACAACTACAAAACAGGAAAGCTCGAGTTCCTCCAGATTTTAGATTCCTCACATGCAGGTCTCCTGCATCTTATGTTCATGCCATTGCGTAGCCTGGGTCCAGCCTTTGAGAGTCGTATTATTTTTTGTTAACGTCGCATCAACTTTTTCTCTCTTTTACCCCCTCTTTGCCATTAAATGTGGCACGTGCACCTCCTTCGCCCTTCCTGTGCCCCCCCCCCCCCCCCCAGTGTCGACACAATTCACAACTGTACGTATTTGCATTTATCTGGACCAGTGACTTACCCTTAAATTCACACGCATTACTGAATGGAGGCAATGTAGCTCGGGATATAAAAGCAGTGACATTTAAATACAAAAATACTTAAAAACCAGTATGAATTAAAATCTAACGCTGCAGAAGTTTTGCTCATTATGACAACAATTTTAGGAAGATTGTGTTTAACCTTTAATCAAAATCAGATTCTTTACAGGAAATCAGAGCTCTCTATAATATGGTAGAGTTGCAAAGATCGGCTCACTTCGTGATGTGTGATAACACCTGCCAGTAACATAATCATTTTGATATTTTTGGACGTGTAAATGTGAAACTATTATGTTGACACTATCAGCATGATCAGGGGATAATGTATTTCATTCTTGGTTTCATAAGATCTCTTATTTAACACTGTTGTCACCTGACTGCCGCAGGCTGAGAAAGCAGCACAAATATTTCACCTTTTCACCCTTTATCTCTCTGATCATCTTCTCAAACACTTTTCCATATTCTACATGTTATATCATGTCGATGGAATATGTACTACTCCAATATACTATTTAACTACATTATATCTCCCCCCCCATCCAATCTCTCTCCCCCTCTCTTTCTCTCTCTCTCCCTGTGTCTCTCTTTCTCTATCCATCTCTCTCTCTCTCTCTCTGGCTTTCTCTCTCCCTCTCTATATCCCCTCTTACTCTTTTAAATCTGCCACACACCAACCCCGTTCCCTCTATTTTTCTCTCTATTTACATCTTATATAAACCTTACCTCATCACCATTATACATAATTCATAATAATTTTGTTGCTCGATGTTATTAGAGAACTCCTTTAAGATATTGCTTCAACCCCGTCAACTGGGTCTCTTCAAGAATACCATAAGTATTTGGACGCCATGGGGTGAGAAATACCAAACACGCGCACACACACACACGCACACACACACGTTCACCAACATACACAATACAAACAATATGGATGACACGATAAATTAGCCTGGTATATGGTCTGTTGATATTATCTATATTACACCGTCGCTGGAACATTACACCCCGGGGCTGCCTGGGCGTATATTTAGGAATATGTTTTGATAGAATGTGATTATAGCCTCATTAGCCGAATTATCTTGTCTTTGGCTGTTTATGTACATAGTATGATCACGGGCACGTGCGTGCTTGGGAAAGTTGATGAGATGAGAATTGAGGGGATGTTTACGTCACGTATGTATTTATTTATCTATCTATTTATTAATCGATTTATTCATTTATTCATGTTTAACTACAACCTGAAAACAAAAGAAAACATATATTTTCTTTTTATCTATCCATTTATTTTATGTAGTTATTTATTTATCTGTTTATTAATAAATTAATTTGTTTATTCATTCATTGTTAATTTTACTTTTATCTTCCTTTCTTTCTTTCTTTTTTTCCCTATTAGATATGTAAAAAATGACCTTAATTTTGATATCGGATATGACCCTTGTCCAATATTTGAGCATAACGATCCAGAGAAATAGACTCATGATACTGGAAATATTCTTCATATTAATCACACAAAATGAATATTTTTTCTTTGTCGACACTTCTCCCCTAGCCCCCCCCCCCAATCGTCATCTATTACAAATATATGTATTTGAGCAGGTAGACATTGATAATTGGCTTTAAATTTGAGGAATCTTTAAATGCATGTACACACTGTACATGTATACATATTAATATAAACATAATATTTGCTTTGTTGAGCTTTGCAATAATATAGCGCTTGCAACAACTATGACGACAAAAGCTGTAGGTGGACGTAAACGGCGTCGTTCAACAGGCGGTCACACGTCACACTGAAGCGAGATCACGTGACCATGGGGCATTAACCAATCGGGTTCAAGACGGCGAAACGTTCACAGATAAGAGATCGCTCGTGGGATAAGAGTTTCGTAGTATTCATACATTTCTTTCCTTTCATCTAGGCTTTCATGTCACAAAAGTTGTAAGGAATATCACTATTAAAATTTCGGAACAAATGTACGTATCAATATCTATATTTACTAGATTCCCGATGTTAGCACCGGTGTTACTCTTTTTCGCTTCTATTTTTCTCACCACGTTGTTCTACCAGATTCCAATTCTCGCTACCCTAAATAGGTACGAAAATCTCGAAATTCGCGGGACGAGGTAAGTTTCACTCTCTCGGGTCGTCACTACAACTTCCGGTATAGAGTCCCATCCCGCTGGCGCTAGCGCCTGTGTTCGCTGTGCAGAGTTTTCACGCACGCTAAAATCAGGGTTCTTACGCTTGGAATCATGAGCCCAGCACTGTGCAGCCTCACAAAAGAAAACCATTGTCACTGATGTCAAAAGACGCAAAAAACAACGAATGAAATGTTCAAATAAACGTTGAAATATTTGCGAAAAAACCCCCAGACCGAGCAGACGACATATTCGGTGCATACACGTTGTGTGGCGACGGCGTTTTACGTTTGCGCTATCGCGCCTAGTAATATAGCGCCTGCACAGGAAGCTGTAATGTCGAAAAGCTATCCCATAATGCAATGCGCGTTTTCAGGATTTTCCCCGGATCTCGGCATAATCGCTATTTGGGGTAGCGAGAATTGTCGTCATCGATGTTATCTATTTTTCGTTTGCCAAATGAGATTATTTACTGAAAGTATTTTTCTCTCTCTTTCTTTTCTTTTTCTAGATTAATCACGAGATCATCGTGACCTCCTAATGACCCGAGGTTGACTGATGCTACCCGACTTCGCGATGGTCTCTACAGAAGAAGAGTGCATTGCGTTGGCAAGCCCGTATCAAGAATCGAGCGAAGGTGAGTTTTAGTGTCTGTGCGTGTGTGCTGAAACCGTGAACAAAGAAAGAAAACGAAGAGAGAGAGAGAGAGAGAGAGAGAGACATAGAGGGACAAAGAAAGAGAGAGAGAGACACATACACACAAGCAGACGCGACCTTATTTAAACATTATTTCGAGATAAGGAGATAGAGAAGGAGAGAGAGAGAGAGAGAGATAGAGAAGCAGAGAGAGAGGGAGAGAGAGAGAGAAGGGGAGAGAGACAGACTGACAGAGACACACACACAAACATACAAGACCTCAATTTTAAACATTATTTCAAGAAAGGCGTACAGGCGCGAACAACGTCGCATCTTCGACATTTAGATGCGCCTCGGACAGATCTTTAAATTGTCTAAGATTCCAGCACCTCTGACTAATGTTATGGCAATCGGATCTACCGATGCTGAGCATTTTATTCCAAAGTTTTACGCGGGAAAAGGCAATGGTCACTTGCTAAACCTCAGGCTCATGCTACCTGGACTGTGAGTTTATTAAGAAGCCTTTAATCCAAATCAGTTTGAGTCTGAGCTGAGAATAGCCAGACAAATGTCCTGAAGACGGAGGGGCTGCCGGGATTAAAGGGTTTTATAGTTCAGATGGCCCCCTGCAAAAGTTATACATTTTCGCCGCCCTTCTTTGCAACGTTTACCTGTTTATTTATGTTGGCAAATGCATTGTGTTCTTTTAAGAAGGAAGTAAACATTAATTTCAACTCGGAATTCCAATAAAATATGCACTTTTATGTTCCTTTTAATACTCACTTTTAAAAATGGCAAACCAAAGACAAATAGATAAACTATTCCAACGTTGTGAAAAACATGTATATATTGTTGTACGAACAATGGCGTAGAATGAATCCAGTCATTTAAAGGACTCTGTCTTGTGGGGGAACAATGGTCGTAATAAGTGATAGCATTTAAATTGTCAAAGTCACTGATCAGGATGGAGGTGCAGGAGGGCGCCCTGGGTTCTATAACAGTTGTTTCTTTTCCTCCCGTATCGATCTCTCTCTTCCTCTTCAGAGTTCAGTAGGGGTGGGGGCGGTGCAGTGTGCCCCGTACCCCTCGTAACTTATTAACTGTGTAAGAGCATGGACCAACTACGAAGGTCCATGGTATAACGTTACGCTCTACTTTACATAGAAGGTCAATCCATGTTATTACAGGGTGCTTTTCTACAGGACGCCCCTTACCGCTAGTCAAAGAAGAAGGCAAATTGGAGAAACCCCCCTTCCCTGAGCTACATGTATTTACCTTCTTGCACAAGGATGGCGATCGTTTGGACGAAGACAGAAATGACACCTCCTTCTCTTGATATAAAATCGCCGGGAATGGGGCATAGGAAATCGATTGACAAAGCCTGCCTTCGTAGCACGTCGCCCAAAACTGAATACGCCTGTCAAAATTCGCCCTTCGGTGACGGAAATTCGAATTCAGTGTCCACTTGTGAAAACATTCACGCTATGGATTATGGAATATTTCTTGTCGTATACGTATTCTATTTTCTACCCATATTGACCCATGACCGTGACACACATATCCAGGGTAATGCTTGTATATATGAATTCTAGCCCTAAAGAGAATGTTGAGTTCAGTCTGGTAAAGCAAAAGGGTTAAATATATTTCGAATGCTTTTCTCTTTCTTCCTACTTGTGAAATAATGTTATGGTAACAATGTGATGTAAACAAATTTGAGCTTTTGCTATTTATCGCCACTATTATCATCATAAACATCGTGATCACCACCACCACTACCATCACCATTATCAGCACTATCATCCTTGTTTTCATCACCATCCCGATCACCACCATCATCACCATCATCAACATCACCATCACCACCATCACCACAACCATCATTACCACCACGATCATCACCATCACCATCACCATCATCACCATCATTATGACCATCACCACCATCACCACCATCATCATCACCAACTCCATCATCCCTATCAGCACCTTTATCATCCCAATCATTGATCTTTACTGTCTTCACTATCATCATCATCCCCAACGCCCAAATCGCCACCATAATACGCAATAATGTATTGTGTCAACATATACTGCAGTAATCATCATCTCGTGTTACATGTCTCATTAGATTAAAAACCACTTGTGCTCCATCGAAGCAAACTTCATCAAAAGAAAACTTGATCGTCTCCTTATGCCGATGAGTAATTCGTTAAGGAGGATCTATGACATTCTACCAGAGTATCATTAAAGACAATTTTGATGCACATTTTCAATTCGCAAGTGGTATGGAATATTTCTTGCGTAATCAAGTGTATCCTTGTGACCTGGTCTAATTTGACGAGAGTATATATCTAATATTGGTTTATAACCATTGGTGGCGCCTATATGTATGTGTAGAGAGCATTGGAAAAGCTCGTGTTGCCGCCGAAAATATGAAAAACAAAATCGGAGGAATAAAGAATAAACTCTGTAACACTTATCGCGTTTGATGATGGCGATACATATATTGAAAGAAGCATTCATTTTGTTTGCATGACTGGGGATGAATTTTGCTTATTGCCACGCGATGAAAGAAACTTTTTACATAAGAGAACAAAACTGAATTATTACAAAAAAGCGTTGTACTTATTTGCCTTGCATGTAACAGCCTCCTTTCAGCACCTAACACAGCCAGTGTACCAATCTCACCCGTAATTTGGAACCCATCAGCTTATTATGGAAGCTGCATCATCTAGCTCTAAGCAATAACCCAGTCTCCATGCCACCTTCCCAATTTCCCCGCTTCCTGCACTCCACATCCATCGCCCCCATCCCTCCATTTTCACTGCACTCGAATCACTTTAATAATCGTTATTAGGGACCACACTCTTTACCCCCTTCCATGCCTTTAGTTAGTTTTTCGGCGCCCCCGTTATCCTTGATGTGTGCCCCCAAACCCATCATCATTAACTTACGTCATCATAATCGCCATCGTCGTTATCAGCATCATCAACAACCATTCAGATACGAATCTCTCTCAGTGCCCCCTCCCTTCCACTATTTCTCCACATCAACCAGAAACCTCACATCCAGTCATCCCTTTATTAATATTGCATCATTTTCTTAATACCAAATATCCTTTTCCATCCCCGTTGCCATGGTTGCACCGACCAAGTTGTTATGTGAAACGCATCACCATCCTTCCAGGCCCATTCTCCTCGCCCCCGCCCACTTCACCTCCCTGCCCACCCGCATACCCCTTTTCATTCCCGCAGTATATACCCACATACTCATACCAAGACGCATCACTCATCATTCCCCCTAAGGATAATTAAGAAAGTAGGAAAGATGGTAAGCTTTTTGGGAAGGCTGAGACACATTTTAAATGAATCTTTTCTTAATCTAATTTATCAATCAATAGTCATTCCTCATTTTGATTATGCTGACATTATATGGCAATCCTCCCAAAAAAACTATCTGGACCAACTTCAAAAACTTCAAAATAGGGCTGGTAGGATAATCCTTAAGATAAACCCTCATAATCATACTTCAACATATCAAATTCACGACCTCTTAAAATGGGAATCCCTAAAAACCAGACGTAAAAAGCACACGTACATAATGCTGTATAAGATTTTCCATAATTTAACTCCAGACTATATGCAGAATAATCTCTTTTACAAAGAAACCAATTATGCCCTAAGAAATATCGATAACTTAGTCTTGCCCAAACCTAAAACTAATTATTGTAAACGAACATTTTTTTATCGCGGATCTAAATTATATAATGAATTACCGATTAACTTACGTAGACCGAACACACTCAATTTATTTCGACAGGGCCTAAATGAATGGATGCTAGATTTTGATGTATAAACTTTTGGTGTAAACGGGGAGGGGGGAGGGATGGTAACAATCGTATTCATAATGTGTTATAGAGGGTTTGGGAGGGGGTTGTAGATAGTACGTTTGTAATATTATATTTTTGTAATATTTTGTGTTTTATTTCTATGTTTGATTATTTCTGGACCTCTAGGAAGAACAGAGCCATTTTAATAATGGCTCTGAATAGAGCTTTCCAGCCGTTTTTTAATTCTTGATTTGTATTATTTGTAAATTGTATTCTTGTATGTATTGAATTTTTATACGGAAAATAAAACCAAACCAAACCAATACCTCCCCTTCCCCTTCCCGACAACCCACATCTGGAGCACGTCGCGGTCAGTGAAATCATCAGCTCATAACCTCAATCTCATCGACCTAAGCAAATACATGAATGAATTCTATCTTTCTCATCCTGCGACCCTCCATCCCTGTTGCATCCATACGTTCAGGATGAAGACCGCATCATTCTTCACCTCCACACATCCTCTTTACAACGACCCCCTCCCCCTTCCCCATCTAGCGAAAATCACCCCCGTTCCAAGCCTCTGCCCTATTGTTAAAACCGCAGCTCCCATGTTCCCCTTTTCCTCTTTCAACTGGCTACTTCTACATGTACTTGATGAGCCGCACCGTTGATACAATCAACTCGTTATCGACATCGTATCAAACGCCCCACCCTATTTTCGTCTTGAGCCCCGCCATCCCCGTTCCACTCATCAAATCATTATCGAGACCAACTTACGTAGTTAGCATAGGGGACGGGGGTAAAAATCTCATAATGAACGTTCCCTTCGGATGCGTATGTAGCATCGTATCTACACGTGTAATTAACGAGGAGTCTTTGGTTAACGTTTGATAAACCGTGTTTTTGCAGCTGCCTCGCCTGGGAACAATATTGAAGTGCAACATGATCTGTTACTTCCATCCATTTTATTGACGAATTTCAGGTTATGAACTACCTGTGAGATGTACCTGTAGGTGTAAAGGTGAATAATTTAACCGCGAGATCCTAACTCCTTGATTCAACTAAGCATTTCTGACTGTACCCATCGAATAATAGATCCTAGCGAAAGATAAGGGTGTAATTAGGGACTTTTAGATTTGCACGTCGACATATAGGACCGCTACGTGTGACGT